AGCCTTTGATCCCATCATTCAGGAGGCAGAGACAGGCGGATCTCTGAATTTGAGGCCAGCCTGGTCTACAGAGTGAGTTCCAGGACAGCCAGGGCTGTCTTTGGGTTAAAAAAGAATGACTGTGAACTGGGGCTTAGCTAAGCAGTAAAGCATTTGCTGACGGTGTATCAAGCCTTTCTTTGCAATTATGACTGGGAAAAGGAGGTAAAGGAAGCAGTAAAATAGTTCATTAGTAAGCATACCAGCACACACACACACACACACACACACACACACACACACACACACACGGTGGGGGGGGTAAAAAGTAAAGCTTTTTTATTTTTTTATTTTTTTTGGTTTTACGAGACAGGGTTTCTCTGTATTGTTTTGGAGGCTGTCGGTCCAGCCTGGCCTCGAACTCACAGAGATCCGCCTGCCTCTGCCTCCCGAGTGCTGGGATTAAAGGCGTGCGCCACCAACGCCCGGCTTTATTTATTTTTTTTTTTGAGAGCACGTTATTCATCATTTATTATAGCGAGACCGAAAGGGGGGAGACAGACGTGAGAGAGTAAAGTACGAGAGAAGAGAAGAGAGAGAGGATGAGAGTAAGAGAAGATGAGAGCAAATTGTTTTTTTCTAATATTTATTTATTATGCCTATATGCCAGAAGAGGCACCAGATCTCATTACAGATGCTTGTGAGCCACCATGTGGCTGCTGGGAATTGAACTCAGAACCTCTGGAAGAGCAGTCAGTGCTCTTAACCTCTGAGCCATCTCTCCAGCTCACCTGATGAAGCTATTCTGCCTTAGTTTTGTCCCACTTTGTACACTATTGCTTCCTACTGTGGAATACATAGGATATGAGGTTCTTTTCATTTTCTCTGTGTGGCCATGGAGTTCATGCCGACTCCCAGTTCCTTTGCTCCACGTTTCTGCTTAGCAAGCATCTTACTGCTGTGAACCCCCACTCTAGTTCTCCTGAATCCCAGGTTTCTTTTTTTTTTTTTTCTTTTGGTTTTACGAGACAGGGTTTCTCTGTACTATTTTGGAGGCTATCGGTCCAGCCCGGCCTGGAACTCACAGAGATCCGCCTGCCTCTGCCTCCCGAGTGCTGGGATTAAAGGCGTGGCCACCACTGCCTGGTTTCTAATCCTGCTGCTGTTTGGCATTTCATCCATGGTTACTGGTGTCTACTTAAAATCATGCCCCTGAGGAGGGGCATCATGAGTAGGGGCTGACAGTGATGTTTTGGGAGCTCAGAAGAGGACTGTGGCAGGTGTGAGCTTGTAGAGTGTTGCATGAAGGACCCGAGACTCAACCGGCGGCTTGCCAGCAGTTCTCAGCCTGAGTAGCAGGCAGCGTCAGCATAGCAGAAGGCAGGTTCTCCATAGAGCCTTCTTGGATACCCAAAGCTGATAGGCTTGCTCTGCAGAAGGACATGCTCTTTCTTTCTCTCCCTCCTGCTCCCTCTTCATGAATCTCTCTGTCTCTGTCTATCTCTCTCTGTCTCTCTCTCGTGTGTGTGTGTGTGTGTGTGTGTGTGTGTGTCCCTACCTCCTCTTCTGTATGGGCCTGTGTGTGTTGGAAAAGGAGTGTGGGAATTGGCAGAGTAAGCAAGTTAGTACTAAACTGTTGGAGGCAAGGGCAGGTGTTCTAGCGCACACCTTTAATCCTCATAGGGAGGAGGCTGAAGCAGGATTGTGAGGCTGAGGCCAGCCTGGGCTACATGGAAATTTTAAGGCCAACTTGGGCTAGACAGTAAGACCCTGTCAAGATGGGAGGGAGGAGAAAATGCTGTGCGGGAGAAGAGGAGAGTTTAGGCTTAAACAAGTCAGATGTGCAGGAACCCAATGGTTTCCTCTCCTGCCTTTAGCTTTCTGGGCTCCACACAGCTGTGTCTTTTTTGTTCTTTCTTTAAAGAGTAAGATGGAGCTGGCCTCATGGAACTTGTGACTCTCCTGCTTCAGCTTCCCCAACCCTGGAGTTACAGGCAGATGCCACTGTGCTCAGCTCACATTTTCACAGAACTTATGCCAAATGCCCCATTTTTTAGATTCTTCTCCAAGATAGGTATCAAAACAAAGACCCTTGTTATCACTGTCTCCTCCCCTTCACAAAACACAGCCTGCAGCGCTAGTCCCCTCTTACTTTATGGGTTACTTGCTTTGCAGATGGCAAAGGATACTTAATGTAAGGGCATTCCAAAGGCTCCCAGATGCCAGAACAGTGACACAGCCATGGACCCTGGTCTGCATCCACTGCCTTCCTTTTTGGATGGAGCCTAATCATTTTCATTTCACCCTTTACCTCAGCCTGCCTGGCCTCATCAGAGCACACAGACCCATCTGTATGCTGTATGCTTCTGACAGGTTATACGCCAATTTGGGTTTTGTTTTTATTTCTTGAGATAGGATCCAGGCTGTCCTTGAACTTGTTATGTAGCTGAGGTTAGTTATGAATTCCTGATACTCCTGCTTCCACTTTCCAAATTCTGTGAGTACAGGACTTTTCCGTCCTTCCAGTCAGTTCCCAAATAATCACACAGGGACCAGGGACTATTATTAACTAATGCTCGATCAGTAGCTTAGACTTGTTTTTAACTAGCTCTGATAACTTAACCCATTTCTAGTCAGCTATGTGCTGCCCCAAGGCTCCTTTACCTCATCTACGCTCTTTTCATGTTGTTTCTTCCGGGTCTGCCTGGCAATTCCTGAGACGACTCCTCCTCCTTCTTCCCAGCATTCTCTAGGTCTGACTCTCCTGCCTAGCTATTGGCCAGCCAGCTTCTTTATTAAAGAGTCACAGTGACACATCCACACAGGCACATGCTCAACATGCCTGACTCGTAATGTGCCTTTGACTACCAAGAACTGGCAATCCTATGTATTGTGCAGAGTTTGAGTCCAGACCTGGAAAACTCATTTGAAGCGGTGTCATTTATCCTTAGAGAATGCCCAGGCTCCCACACTGATGCATGGACTCAGGGTTTTGCAGACGCCACATTGAGGCCCCAGATGGGAGAAGCACCATCTCATCAGCCTAACAGTCGAGCCCTTCTTACTTTCTTCCTCCCCGTGCAGCTCCTGCCCGAAGAGTCGCTGAGTCTCTTTTTCCAAGAATGCCATAAGCAAGCCACACAGGGCTTCAAGCTCCACATGCCCAAGGGTCGATACTGGAGGCTTCGACTGTGTCCTGGTAATTTTTCTTTCTTTCTCTATAGTGCTGGGGATAAAACCCCGGATTTCACACATGCTAGGCAAGCAAGCCTTACTGACTGAGCCACCCCCCCCCCACACACACACCCCGCCAGCCCACCGTCTCGGTAACTTCCCATGCCCATCTTCTCCTTCCAGGGGTTGCCAGTATGCGAATGGTTCAAGCCCTCCCCAATTGTGACTCTACACCACGGTCACCATCCTTGTCCTTACCCTCTAGACCCATCTCTCTGGTGCCCATCGGAGTCCCATAGCCTCATGATCTTTCTTTTCTATTCTCTCACTCCAGAACATCCCAGTGCTCCTAGTGAGTATGCAGGGATGGTGGTCTACGCTGTGTTGGAGCCTGTGTTGCGAGGACTGCAGGGACTGTCACCCGAAGCCCAAGCCCCCGCCCTCAGCCAGGCACTGACAGCCTTACTGGGTGCCTGGCTTGACCACATCCTCACCCGCGGGATCCGGTTCAGGTGGGGAGGAAAGATGGTCGTGGCCGCGGGAGAATGTCAGCAGGGGAAATGGAGAACTTCTGGGTGTGGGGAGGCGGAAGTGTCAGGTGGCCACATTGTACCTGGACATCTAGCCTGCAGGGGGCGCTGCAGCTCAAACAGGACTTCGGAGTGGTCAGGGAGGTACTGGAACAGGAGCAGTGGGGCCTGTCCCGGGAGCTTCGTCAGACTCTTCTCTCACTCAGCATCTTCCAGCGGCTAGATGGGGCCCTGCTGTGCTTACTGCAGCAGCCCCTGCCCAAGAAGCCAGTCCACAGAAGGCCTCCCTGTTGCTGTGAGTCATTTCCCCTCTCCAATCCCAGGCTTCCCCAAGTCCCTCCATCATACTTAAGAGACCCCATCGCACCACTGACTTTCAGCCTGCCTTCCATTCTGCCTTCCCAGGTTGTTGTAATGAGGTCCAGACCACTGAACTGCCCACCAGCAGCCTCAACAGCCTGGAAAACTTGGCACCCCCTCTCCGGCCTGGACTCTCCCCAGCCCAGAACATGCACCTGCTAAGCACCCTGGGAGGAGGAGGAGGGGGAGGGGGAGGGGGAGGACCTAGTCCTGAAGCTTACCTGGCTGGAAACCAGCAGGCCTGGCTTGCCCTGAGGCTGCACCAGCACCCTCGTTGGCACCTGCCCTTTCTTTCCTGCCTGGGGACAAGTCCTGAGCCCTAAATTGCCTAGGACCAGGAGTACCAAATCACGGTCTGTTAAGCCTCAGTCAAGGAACTGTATGTTAGAGAGGCTCAAAACTGAGAGCTTGGGAGAACACGTACATAAACTACACAGTCAGGAAATGAATCCAAGATCACCCTAGTACCTGCAATCCAGAGTAAAGGGCAAACTACAGCCCGAAATCTGAAAGTTAGCAACAAGGAAGCCAGGAGCTAGAAATCGCTAGGTCTACAGGGTTGACTCTCAGGAGACAGAAGCAAGCCACATGCTTTCTCTTGAATCCCAGGAACAAGGCTATAGTTAATTCATGAGGAAACAGATGGAGCAAGCATTTCTACAGGTGGAGGGCGTGTCTTAAGCTTTTCCCGTTTCCATTTTTTAGTCATTAGGCTATAGGGCCTTGACAACGTTTAAGCTTTGACTGTTCAGTTGCCAGGGTGGGCTTGCTTCCTGGTGGGTGGACAATCCCTGCTGTGGTAATCCCCTCATTGGAAGGAGCCAGGATTTAGGATGGCGCTGACCTAGATCTAGCAGGCAGGATACCGAATGGGGAAAGCTGCAGGATACGACGCGTTTCCGTGCAAAGGGGGTTTCTGCACATTCACCGTCGACGCTGTGTGTGGCGCAGGGTACTGCTAATGGCTGAAGTATATACGTACTGCCAACTCTGGGTCCCTTGGCGGCCCGGAGTGATAGCCGCTACAAGTCCTGCAGAGGCCGCCGGAAGCGGTCCGTTCCAATAAAGCGATCCCCAGCACTACTTCCGGAACAGAGGTAACCATGGCGGCGGCTTTGGCTCGCCTCGGACTGCGTCCGGTCAAGCTGGTTCGAGTTCAATTCTGCCCGTTTGAGAAGAACGTGGAGTCGACAAGGTTCGTGTTCTGGGGAGGCGGGAGGTGCGTGCACGCTCGACCCTCTGCCCGAGTTCCAGGCTCCTCAGACCCGCTCTCCCTGCCTCGCGCACGCCCCTTGGTCCCCGCTCCGGGCGTCCTGGTCCCCGGGCGCGCTCACGCTGCCCTCCCATCGTAGGACCTTTCTCCAGGCGGTGAGCAGCGAGAAAGTCCGTGCCACAAACCTCAACTGTTCGGTGATCGCCGACGTGAGGCACGACGGCTCCGAGCCCTGCGTAGACGTGTTATTCGGTAGGCCTGGCTGGGATGCGGGCGGGCAGGCGGCAGCAGAGCGCGGCGCAGCCCTGCGGACTCCGGGTCCCTGACTCATCGGTTTGCATCTTAGGAGACGGGTATCGGCTGATTATGCGCGGCGCTAACCTCACCGCTCAGGAAATGTTCACCGCCTTGGCCTCCCACATCCAGGCCAGAAATGCAGCGGCAGCAGCCGCTGCACCCAGCGCAGACAAGCCGGGCGCAGTTACAGGCACTCGGCGCTGACATCGCAGAAGATGTAACAACCAAATGTTATCTTGGAGCTAAAGACTGCTGTCTAAGAAGAGCTGGGCTTAATCACTCGAAAGGTTACGTGGAAGTCACGAAACAGACTGAAGTGCAAGGAACCCTGACACTTACAACCGTGCTTTTGGGGCAAGATAAGTAAGATTAGGTGATGGAGGGTCTGGACAAATTTGAATTTTTCTTTCTCCTCTCCCCTCACTGCTTAACCATATTTGAATTTGGCTTCATCTATCACCCAAGTATCTTTTAATTAAATATTTATTGCCAGATGAATTCTTTTTCTCAGGTTGTTTGCTTAGTTGGCTGAGACAGACTCGTGTCATGAGCTAACCTGAAACTTGGTACTAAACTAAGGTGAACTAGAAATTTGAAAGGATTCTCCTGGCTGCAAGGCTTCTGGGTGCTGTGATTATAGATGTGCGTCACCACACCAGGCTTCAGAACTCATCTTTCTTAGCTTTGTCTACTTTTCATCTATCTTGAGTAGTTTTCCTTTACTCTCATAAGGAATCTGTCTTAGTTTGGGTTTCTATTTATGTGAAGATATGCCATGGCCACAGCAACTCTTATAAAGAAAAAACATTTAATTGGGGCTGGCTTACAGTTTCCGAGGTCCATTATCTTCGTGGCAGGAAGTATGGTGCCACACAGACAGACATGGTGCTGGAGAAGGAGCTGAGAGTTCTACATGCTGATCCATAGGCAGTAGGAAGAATCTACAACACGCTTCCTCCAACAAGGCCACACCTACTGTTAGTGCTATTTATTCCCTATGGGCCAAGCATTTAAATACATGAATCTATGGCAGCCATTCCTTAAGACCACCACAGAACTACTCATTTTGTCATAATTAAAACTACTCTGGACTTAAACCCTACATTTCTGTTTAGTTTTAATTCCAACTTCTATGGTTACCTACTACCAACTTCCTGCGTATGCTACCAATGTGTCCTTAAATGGAATCAGCCCCTCCTGGTGGCACAGGCCATCTCAGCTACTCAGGAGGCCAGCCTGGTCTACTTAGCAAGACCCTTCCATTCTCATTCATTCTCCTGTATCACCTGCATCCTCCTGCCTGGTGTCATTTTCCCTAATCATTTTTGCTGGTACTAATCTTACCCTTCAAGTACATAATGGCTTATTTCTCATAGTACCTGAAGTAGTTTTTAGTCTAGGAGACATTGATGTGATCATGAAATCACTTTAGAAAATTAAACAATATTAAAAGTTATCCATTCAGCCGGGCGTTGGTGGCGCTCGCCTTTAATCCCAGCACTCGGTAAGCAGAGACAGGCAGATCTTTGTGAGTTCGAGACCAGCCTGGTCTCTAAGAGCTAGTTCCAGGACAGCCTCCAAAGCCACAGAGAAACCCCGTCTCAGAAAACAAACAAACAAACAAACAAAAAAAAGTTATCCATTCAAGTCGGCTCCAAAGCTACACAGAGAAAACCTGTCTGGAAAAACCAAAAAAAAAAAAAAAAAAAAAAAAAAAAGAAAGAAGGAAAGAAAGAAAAAAGAAAGTTATCCATTCATGCCATGTGAATATTCTTTTAGGAAACTTTAGTTTTAAGCAAATAACTATGTATATTTCATAACATAAAGGCACTGCTGTGTGTATGTGCGTGCACGAGCATTTGCATTTGCAAGTGCTGGGTTACAGTACACATTGTTTCTTCTGGGTTTTTTTTTTGTTTGTTTTTTTTTTGTTTTTTTGTTTTTTTTTGAGACAGGGTTTCTCTGTATGTCCCTGGCTGTCCTGGAACTTGCTCTGTAGACCAGGCTGGTCTCAAACTCACAGAGATCCGCCTGCCTCTGCCTCCCTAGTGCTGGGATTAAAGGTGTGCACCACCACCACCACCACCACCACCACCACCACCACCACCACCACCACCACCCAGGTATTTCCATTGTTTTTTTCTTAGTGTATGAATATGTATATGAGGTGCACTTGCCTGTGTTTGCAAATGTGGAAGCCAAAGGTAGGATATTTTCCTCTACCATGCTCTGTCTTATTTTGTTTCTAAGTAAAATCTCTTACTGAGCCTGGAGCTTACCATTTTCAGTTAGACTAGCCAGCAAGCTTTTAGGATCCCCTGTCTCCATTCCCCTAGTACTGAGGTTACTACCTCAGCTGGCTTTTATGTGTGTATACGGGGTCCCAAGTCAGTTTCTCATGCTTTCCCAGCAAGTGCTTAAATTCCTGGACCACTTTCCTAGTCCCTTTGTTCCTTACTGTGAATTACAGGGGAAGGAAAAAAAAGTAGCCCTACTGCCAGAAAGTAAGTTAAGAATGTCCAGTTAAGGCAATCAGAGATCTCTTAGATACTGGCTACTATGTAGTTTACCAAATACATAACTGGAGTCCCCTCCCCCCAGCAATACTGTAACTTCCCTGCCTAAAAGGGTATCAAAGGATTCTCTCTCCACCATCCTTTAAGAAAGACTGTTGCTCTAAGGAATGCTCTAAGCTGCTGTCTTCAGCAGCTCAGGAATTGACAGTAGCCATGGAGTAGGCAGACTATTCACTCAGTTGACTTTTCTGTCTAAGGGAGTAAAACTTAATTCTCTGGGGTCTGAGAAAAAGAGAAAACACACACACACACTTCAGGGTCTCTACCATCTTTAATTTTCCTTTACCTCTCATATATACCAGCAAAATCTTTCATGCAATATAAAAATTACAATGTGGTTGCATTCTGTTTTTCAAGTGAATGATTACACTTACAGGTAAAAACCAACATGTTCCCATTTATGTGTTATAGGTAAAAAACAAATTATTCCCAAGAACTCATGTCCACTCATATCCAAGCAGCTTGTTACAGGTTAACAGAGTATAAGCAAGCAAGTTATTTTTCTCAGCCAGTTTTTTACTGGAAGGCTGCTGTTATAAAGGACCAATCACTTTATTTGTCTCAAAGGTAGTTTTATAAAAAAAAAATCACATCTAAACTTTTATATATGAAAAATAGTCATTTCTGCTTTTAAGTTGTCAGGGTGTCTACTCACTCATCAATAGTTTTTATTAAATCATATCAGGAAGCTGAGGGCAGAAATGGGTACAAGGAATTAATCATTACCTTTGATTACCAACCCGTCCTAGCAAGAAAGGTATGTCAAGCTGGGCAATGGTGGGGCACGCCTTTAATCCCAGCACTCAGATGGCAGAGGTAGTTGGATATCTGTGAGTTCAAGGCCAGCCTGGTCTACAGAGTGAGCTCCAGGGCTGCCATCATTTTTGTTCCCTGACTCCACTATTAAGTATGTCTTTCTAAACTTTAAACTGTTTCCCAAGATTTTCTGCCTCAATGCCATTGAAAACATCTTAACCTAACCTTAAGTCATTATTAAAGCTTTGTTTTGGCTATGATGCACACTGAAACTTGTGAACACATCTCCCAACATTAAGATGAAAAGAACTTGAGCTAGCCTAGCTTCTGAGACACAATGTTTTTCTTAATTATTAATCTAAGTAAGTCAGTCTATATGGCTCCTCATCCTAGGTATGTGACACTTCCTTGTTTTCCCCTTTTCAGCCCCTGCTCTACTGGCAGGGGGTGGGGGGGGATCAATACTATATCCTACCTTCACCTGTATTAGTTTTCCTGCTAAACTAACCTCTATCATAATCCCTTACTATATTTATCAAAAACCCTCAATCGGCCGGGCATTGATGGCGCAGGCCTTTAATCCTTGCACTCGGGAGGCAGAGGCAGGCGGATCTCTGTGAGTTCGAGACCAGCCTGGACTACCAAGCAAGTTCCAGGACAGCCTTCAAAGCCACAGAGAAACCCTGTCTCGAAAAACCAAAAAAAAAAAAAAAAAGAGGAAATCATCTTCATAATCACAAATAAAAAAACCTAACAGAATGGAATATTTCCACGAGACAATCACAAGGCAGTGGGGATCCCCCCATACCCGTGCCAGACACCAGAGAAAATCAGCAGCAGCAAACACAGAAAGGCACAGCAGTTAACGAGAAACACTGTGGAGCCAAAGCCCTCTGGCCTTGTCTACCCGAGATTTACCCATCAGTGCCTTGCTTCCTGGTGGGCTGGACTCCCCGAAGCCCTATGTAAAAGCATATTAGATCCTAGCTCTTGACACTCTGCTTGAGGACAGCCTGGGCTACATATACAAAGCAAGATCCTGTATCAGTCAACCTGGCTTTACATATAAAGCTGGAAGAAAACCTAGACAAACTCATCCCCCCACGGAGGGAAAAACTGACCTTAACATGATCATTTATTTTTATTTTATGTGCATGGATGTTTTGCCTGCATTTATGTCTGTGCACCACAGCGCTTGGTGCCGAAATAGGGTGTCACACCCTCTCAGCGATTTGTAAGACGCCACGTGGACGCTGAGAACCGAACCTCCTCTGCAGGAGTGGCAAATATGCTTAGCCGCTAAGTCATGTCTCCAGCCCCACCCCCTACACGTACCTTTTTTTTTTAACATTCGTGTGTGCTTGTGTGTGTGCATGTGGAGGTGCGCTCGTGCTACGGCACACGTGTGGAGGCCAGAGGGTGTATGTATACGTGTAGTCACAGTTGTGAATGTCAGAGGATAACTTGTGGGAGTCAGTGCTCTTACACGACGCTGGTATGGGGATCTAACTCAGGTTATCAGCCTTGCCGGCAAGCGCCTTTACCCAACTGAGTCATCTCTCCAGCCCAAGATCATTATTTAAACAAAACAAAACTGAACGGGCTCAGAATGTTATTGCTTCTCTCTCCTACCCCCTGAACCTACACGCATGGAGACATTTCACAGGCTGAGCCGGGTAACTCAGGACCCTGCTGGTGACAGTAGAGTCCTGCCAGCCACAACGCTTCCGGGTTCCGGGGCGGGACCTGACGTAGCAGGGCGGGATTTCCGCGAGTGCTCAGTGGGTGCGCGGGCAGCCGGCTTAGTGGACTGACCGCACGGTGGCGGCCGGGGTACCGGGCCGGCTGCCGGGATGGCCCGAGGAGAGAGGCGACGGCGCGCCGCGGCTGCAGAGGGGGCGCGGCCGCTGGACAGGGCTCGGGGCACTGGGCGGCGGGACGGCAGGGCGAGCGGGGCGCGCGGCGCGGCCCTGGCCGTGGTGGTGCTGGCGCTGGCCTTCGGTCTGTCGGGGCGCTGGGTGATGGCATGGCTCCGTATGCGTCGCGCGCTCACACTGCACCCCGCGCCTCCCGCGCTGCCCCCCGACTCCTCCAGTCCCGCGGTGGCCCCGGAACTCTTCTGGGGCACCTACCGTCCACACGTCTATTTCGGCATGAAGACTCGCAGCTCAAAACCGCTGCTCACGGGTAACTCTGGGGCAGGCAGAGAGAGGAGTGGGGAGGATCCAGCGTTCTTCGCAGACTTAGAGGGACGGTTTCTGTTGACTTACGTGGCCATTCTACTCCCCAGGACTGATGTGGGCGCAGCAGGGCGCCACCCCAGGGAACCCTCCTAAGCTCAGGCACACGTGTGAACAGGGAGACGGCGTGGGTCCCTATGGCTGGGAGTTCCACGATGGCCTCTCCTTCGGCCGGCAACATATCAGCGATGGGGCTTTAAGGCTCACCACTGAGTTCGTCAAGAGGCCTGGGGGTCAGCATGGAGGGGATTGGAGCTGGAGAGTGACCGTACAACCTCAGGTCAGAGCATCAGAATCCTCTTTGCTCAGCCCTGACTTCCCCCATCCTCCCCTTGCAGCAGCAATGCAGTGTGAAATGGAAGTTAGCAGCAGTTGGGACACCAGCCTGGTTGACCATCTCTGCCTGCTTGCTGTCTCCAAGCTTTCATTTCTTTGTAAAGCAGATATCACTGTGACACCTAACTCACAATATTAAATGAAACAATCTATATAGAATTCGAAAACACCCAACACTGTACTTTGCGGGGGAACCCTGTCCAAGGCCCGCAGCCCACGCCAGTGTACCCACTAACCCTCAAGCACTGACCGATGTTTGCCATAGTCTTCCTTGTAATCTTTGAAGATTCTCAAAAGAATGCTTTTCTAATGCGTATTGTTCTCGTTGTCACCCAGGCCTCAGGTACCTCTTCCCTTCCTTTGGTGTCCCTGTTCTTCTATGTGGTAACAGATGGCCAGGAAGTCCTACTACCAGAGACTGGAGCCAAAGGACAGTTGAAGTTCATCAGTGGACATACCAGTGAACTCGGTGACTTCCGCCTTACACTTCTGCCACCAACCAGTCCAGGAGACACTGTCCCTAAGCATGGCAGGTAACTGGGGAAGGGTTAGGGTGGTACGGGGTGGTAGGGATGTTGCCTTAGCCTGGTTTCCATGGCCCCACCCCACTCTCCCACCAGTGGGACTGCCCAGACCTCCCTTTCCTGTATAACATTTCTTATTTGTCTTCTTGCCTTCAAGCTACAATGTCTTCTGGTCCTCCAACCCAGGGCTGCCACTGCTCACAGACACGGTAAAGAACCGCCTAAACAGCTGGTTTCAGCACCGGCCCCCAAGGGCCTCTCCGGAACGCTACCTTGGCTTGCCTGGGTCTCTGAAGTGGGAGGAGAGAGGCCCTACTGGGCAAGGACAGTTCTTGATACAGCAGGTGACCCTGAGAGTCCCCTTCTCTGTGGAGTTCATATTCGAGTCTGGCAGTGCCCAGGCCGGGGGAAACAAAGCCCTTGGGCAGTTGGTAGGCAGTCAACTGACCCAGGCCCTGGAGAGCCATGCTGCAGCTTTCCAAGAGCGTTTTGAGAGGACCTTCCAGTTAAAGGAGAAAGGCCTGGGCCCCGAGGAACAGGTTTTGGGTCAGGTTGCCCTTAGTGGCCTCCTTGGTGGGATTGGCTATTTCTATGGACAGAGTTTGGTGTTGCCTGACACTGGTGTGGAAGGGTCTGAGCAGAAAGTAGACCCTGCCCTATTTCCACCCGTCCCTCTTTTCTCTGGAGTGCCTTCCCGGTCATTCTTCCCGCGAGGTTTCCTTTGGGATGAAGGCTTTCACCAGCTGGTGGTCCAGCGATGGGATCCCCACCTCACCCGAGAGGCCCTAGGCCACTGGCTGGGGCTGCTAAATGCTGATGGGTGGATTGGGCGGGAGCAGATACTGGGGGATGAAGCCCGATCCCGAGTGCCCCCAGAATTCCTAGTGCAACGTGCAGCCCACGCTAACCCCCCAACCCTGCTCTTGCCAGTATTACGAATGTTAGAAGGTGGTGATCCCGATGACTTGGCCTTTCTCCGAAAGGCTTTTCCCCGCCTGCATGCTTGGTTCTCTTGGCTCCATCAAAGTCAGGCAGGGCCAGTGCCATTATCTTACCGCTGGCGGGGCAGGGACCTGGCTTTGCCTACCCTACTTAATCCCAAAACACTGCCCTCGGGCCTGGATGACTACCCCAGGGCATCACACCCTTCTACAGCAGAGCGGCACCTGGACCTTCGATGCTGGGTGGCATTGGGTGCCCGAGTGCTGTCACAGCTTGCAGAACAGCTTGGGGAGGCTGAAGCTGCTGCAGAGTTGGGCCCGCTGGCTGCCTCCCTGGAAGAACCCAGGAGTCTAGATGAGCTGCACTGGGCTCCTGAGCTGGGAGTCTTTGCTGACTTTGGGAACCACACAAAAGCAGTACAGCTCAAGTCCAGGCCTCCTCAGGGGCTGGTTAGGGTGGTAGGCCGGCCTCCACCTCAGTTGCAGTATGTGGACGCCCTGGGCTATGTCTCTCTTTTTCCCTTCTTGCTACAGCTGCTAGACCCCCATTCACCCCGCTTGGGGCCCCTGCTAAATGTTCTTGCTGACAGCCACCATCTCTGGAGTCCTTTTGGGTTACGCTCCCTGTCAGCCTCCAGCCTCTTTTACAGACAGCGTAACTCTGAGCATGATCCCCCTTACTGGCGGGGTGCCGTGTGGCTGAATATCAACTACCTAGCTTTGGGGGCACTCCACCACTATGGGCGTGTGGAGGGACCCCACAAGGTTCAGGCCGCCAAGCTCTACCATGAACTCCGTGCCAATGTAGTGAGCAACATATGGCGGCAATACCAGACTACAGGGTTTCTGTGGGAACAATACAGTGACCAGGATGGACGGGGCATGGGCTGCCGCCCCTTCCATGGATGGACAAGCCTTGTCTTACTGATAATGGCTGAGGAGTACTGAAGGAACTGGAGGAAAGCAAGGCACTTGTGTCATTTGGAATATGCAGGGACAAGGTCTTAGGTTTCTGCTCTTGTTCCCTCAGATCTTGTAAACTCATCTCAGGTGTCTCCTTGTCATCCCATCCAGCTCTGGGGTGAATGTGAACTCAAGAGTCTATTTTTCTAAATAAACTGAAAAAAAAAAAAAAAAACCAAACTGAATTCTTGCCTTTGGCGGTTTTGACTCAGGGCTACCTGCTGCCTCAGGTAAGGTGATGAATGGTCTCTGCTTCTTCTCTTCAAACCCAGTGTGGTTAGGAAGCATGCAATAACTTGAGGTCTACTCTACCCAAAACCACAAGCAGCTGGTTCACATCTCTTTAATGAGATTAAAGGCTCCTGTGTATGTCTTGGGGGTAAGTAAAGATAGCATAGTCCTCGGTACTGCCCCTCTTTAGGACTCCCACCCTTTCAGGCATATTCTAGGGGGGAGGGGCCCACATCGAGGACTGAAGTTGCAACCAGGGTTGTTCCTGGTGGCCAAGTAACTCCCAGCCTCCCTCTTGAAACTACTTACGGGATGTCCCCATAACTGGAAGCCAGCCCCAAGGAAGGGGTCTGGGACGTAAAATCTGGGGACAGTACACAAGGGGAATGGTCCACCAGATCTGGTTGGGTAGCACTAGCCCTCATCTCCTTGACTGGCTCACCTTCGCTGGAGTCAGGGCAAGGGCAGAGCTCAATACCTGAGTCACCAGTCAGGCGACGGTAGCGGCAGGAAGGGGGTGTGTGAACTGGGCTCAACCCTGCTCTGGGCTCACCCTCCTGATGAGGGAGGGCACTCTGGTGGGAGGAAACACCTTCCACATTTGTCCCCTCCAGGTGGGCAGAGCAGCTGGATGCAGAAGAGCAGCAGGTGCGTTCCCTGGAAGCAGTCGAGGGGTGGCCTGGGGTCATAGTGTAAGGGGGCGGCGGTGTGCCAGGGTGGTGGACCACATCCTCATAGGCTGGGGGTTTGAAGGCGCTGAGGAGGCCTGCAGGAGAGAGAACAGCATGGATGACTGAAGGACTAGAGCTACAAGAGTGATCTCTCCTATCAGGGGAAGAGTGCTTTGAGAAGTCTGCCAGGGGACGTATGGGCCGGTTGAGGGTCCTGGCTTGGGAGGGCTACAGGATCTGCACCCAGGAGTCTCAAGTCACTCACGAAGGTCAAGCAGTGAACCAGTAGGAACAGGGCCAGCCCCATGGCATGCCCCATGGTAAGCCAACAAGTTGATCTCTCGCTGCCGCTGCTGCTGTTGCAGCCTGAGTTTAGCTCTCCGGTGACGGAAGGCGCAACAACAGCTAAAAAGGATGAGGACTGTCCAGAGCAGCCAGAACCCTGCGGGAGGCAAGAAGAGCACATCTCAGATTACCTGCCTTGCGCTGCATGCAGAGAAGGGTCCTCAGTAGCTGGATTCAGAAATCCAGGGGAGGATGGGCAGGGGACCTAAGAGGGACCCCTTTGCAGACTCACACCAGAGTTCATAGTAGTAGGTGCAGCAGCCAGTCTCCCCACAGCAGTGACCACTCTCACAGAGGTAGGGTTGGGTATTCACTCCTGGGCACAGCTCTTGAAGCTGGAGGCAAGTAGGCACTTAGAACTAAGGGAGATTCTACCCAAAGCCCTTGTCCACCCCACCTCCTGCATCAGCATACACAATCCCATCCATGACTCAACATAGCTTGGAAAGATGGCATGGGAATGCTAAGAGGAGTGTTTAAATATATACAGGGCTGTCAGTATGGAAGATTTGGAATAGCCAGAAAGTAGTGTAGAAAATAAAAGTATGGATTTACAAAGGTGATTTCAGTTCTTTAAACCCAAGACCTCTCACATAAGCCTGGCCCCAAGGGTGGTTCTTGGTAAGGTAGTGGTTTGGAAGAAGCAGAACGATCTAACAATGGATAGGGATTTAAGGCCATTTCCAAAGCTAAAATGCTTTCAACATCGCCCACCCCGAAGGTCTGTCTCCCACAACCCCAAGATGGATTTTTCCACCCCTGGGTCTCAAGCTCCCTAGGGTAGAGGTGAGACAGTGTGAGACCCAGAGCAGTGCTCCCAACCAGATGGGATTGCTGTGGAGGATAAAGGATGGCATCCAGGGCGCGAGTCTGGGTTCCAGCTCGTTTCCAGATTGCTCCCTCAAGAGAAGACGCTGCCGGACTCTGTTGTGACAATAGGCACATAGAAAACATCACAAATGACTGCTGCACACAGAGGGAGCCTCCCTGGGGTCCTCACTACGCCTCTGGTAACTGACAAGCCACTGCAGGATTGCACTGCAGGCACGGGCTGAGGTCTAAGAGGCGGCAGGTAGTCAACTGCATCTACCTAACAAAGTTTAGACAAAGAGTAGAATGGTCATGTTCAGGAACTTCATAGTACCTTTGGCTCCGTGAGCTCCTCCCCCACCCCGGACAGGAAGTGACAGGAAAGGGGAAAGAAATAAATGGCTGTCGTGATAGGCTTTTAGAGCTGCTGGATACCTGCTGCTGCGGCGCCCGGTGTGCCCCCCAGGCCTCTTCGCTGCTGTTCCTGATGCTGGCCCGAGCCATGCCTCCACCTACAGACCCCTGAAGACCACAGCCTTCTCTACCGCCAGCTGCCCCGCCCCTGCCACCTCTGCCGCCACCGCCATGGTCCCTGCCCGGCCCATCTCCGCTGCTGCCACCATCACTCCGCAGCCGGAGCTCCCATCCCGGGAGAGCTCTTCCAGAGGACGAGGATTGTTAAGTCCAACCAATCAGTATCGTTCGCCGCAGACTGGCCAATAGGAGCGGGTCACAGGCTTCTCCCGCTGTCCAATCCGTAGCAGCGGATCTGCCACTCTCCCAGACAACAAGAACTCACACAGACAAAGACGGGGGAAGGTTCCACAGAAGCCCTGATTGACAGCAACGATAGCCAGTACGGACAACAGAGCAAGCCTTGACTTGTCAGCCAATAAACGGCCGTCCAGGATCACAAAACTACCGCCGATTGGCTGGGTGAAACATGCGGGTTCGGAGCGGTCGGCTTCCCACTCCAGCAATTCTAGACAAGCCGAGACACCACACGAAGTTTAATAGGGTGAGGGAGACAGAAGGAATGTGGCGTGGGCGAGGCCCTAAGTGGCCAGAAGCGGGGACCCTGGGCCCTCAGGTCCACCCAGCCGTAGCTGCAGGTTGATGCGGTAGCACTGCAGGCTACAGAGAGCCTGGCCGGTGCGGGAACAGGCGTAACGACGTGGGTGGGGGCAGCCAGGGACAGAGCAGCGCGGAGCTGGGTTTGACGGGGCAGGCCGCTGAACCACCGCCGCGGGTGCGGGGACGCCGGGAGGAAAGGACAGCGTGGAGCCCTGGGCCCCGCTGCTGTAGCGCACCATGGGTGTAGGGGCCGGGGCAGCTGTCCGTCCCCCACGCCGCTCGCCCCGCGCTGCCCCACGCCCTCCGCGTCCGCTAGGAGCGGCCGTCTTTGTGAGACGCTCGATTGTCTGATTCTTGTGCTCCTCCGCCCGCCTTGCCGCCTGCAGCCGCCTCTTCCGCGCCCGTTCCTCACGTTTCAGCAGCATCTCTTCCGTGAGGGCAGGGGCCGGGCAGCCCCCAGCCACCGGCAGAGGCAGGATGGGGGACGGCTGACTCCGCGCCTTCTGGAGCAGGGCTCGCTGGCGAAAGACAGGCCCCAAAGTCGTGGAATGAGAAAGAGGACGTGGAAGGCACAGAATCATATCCCCCTCCCCCATTTTTGTTTTTCCAGCCGGCCTCACTATGTAGCTCTGGCTGTCCTGGAACTCATTATGTAGGCCAGGCCACCCTCGAGCTCAGAGATCCTCCAGCCTCTGCCTCCTAAATGCTGGGATTAAAGGTGTGTGCCAGCCGGGCGTTGGTGGAGCACGCCTTTAATCCCTGCACTCCGGAGGCAGAGGCAGGAGGATCTCTGTGAGTTCGAGACCAGCCTGGTCTACAAGAGCTAGTTCCAGGACAGCCTCCAAAGCCACAGAGAAACCCTGTCTCGAAAAACCAAAAAAAAAAAAAAAACAAACAAACAAACAAAAAAAACACTTGCTCCTCCCAGGGCTCCTGATGCTGCTCAGTATTAAAGGGAAAACATCAGTATTATCCCCAGCCGACCCCAAGTGCCCAGTCTGTACCACCCTTGTGTAGATTTTTGCTGGATTTGGCTCAGACCAAAAACTCAATTACCCTGGATTCCCTTTTTTCTCCAGTCAGCTCCCAAAAAGGAACTACTTCAGAAATATATCCAGGATTTGGTGGGGTTTTCTTCATTCTATGACTACTTCTTGGCTCACGCCATCACCATCTCTCATACTCTCCCGATTGAATGATTGAGACAGGGTCTCTAGATGTATTCCTGGCTGGCTTAGAATTTATAGCCATCCTTCTCTTTCAGTTCTGGGATTACAGGCATGCACCACCCACCACAGCCTACACAGCAGTTCCTGCATAAATTCCTTAACTGTCAAAATAATTACTGGAAATTCAAGTCAGCTATGGCCCTTGTCTGCAGGTGACCCACTGGTGGCTTAGCCACATTTTCCTTCTGTGCCTATGTCAGCTGGCTTCTCTGCTTGAGAAGCTCTTCCAGTACTGGAAATGTCACCTCTTCAAAGAGGCATTCTGGGCTGGAAAGAGCACTCAGTGCAGAGGACTCTGGTTCAGTTCCCAGCACCTACACAGCAGCTCACAACTGTCTTTAACTCTAGTTCCAGGAGTTCTGATGGCCTCTGGCCATCATAGGCAGCAGCCAAGCACTCAGACACATAAAAATAAATAAAAACCGTGTTTAACACAAAAGCAAACAACGAGCCATTCACTAAAGCTATCCTAATGTTTCTGTCTTGCCACTTTCTATATCATCATCCCTATTTTCTGTAGTTTGTAAAAATTACTTATGAGCTGGGTGTGGTGGCACACACCTTTAATTCCAGCACTTGGGAGGCAAAGGCAAGCAGACCTCTGTGTGCTTCAGGTCAGTCAGCGCTAAACAGTAAGATCCCAATTCAAAAAAAGGAAATAATAACTTACCATCCCTCCGCATGCACAAGAGTATCACAGTCCCTTATCTTTTCTATTCCCCTGATAGTCTCATTGCCTGCAAACAGCAGCTTCTCCTCGGGAGTTTGTTGAGGGAGTGAAGACTGAACCGGCTTACCTGTCTCGCAGTAAGCAGCCGCTCATCGATCTCCTTCTTGAGATCTCCATTGTCATCCAGCTCTCCCTTCTCGAGGGCATCCAGCCACCTCTGCTCCTCCTCTTCCTCCTGACCCTCTAGATCCCCTGGCAGGTCCCGAAGTGGGGAGGGGGACAGATTACTGTCTTCATCTGGGCAGGAAAGTTGGGGAAAGAAATGTGGAACATTAATATAGCAAAACTGATCCTGGCACACTGACAACTCTCAGAACCTTTCTTTTGCTGGGTACAAATAAGCAACCCAGTTTCCCCATCTTCCCCGTCTCCAGGGTCTTCTCACCCAGCCAGGCTCGGTACTGCTCCAGAGGCACTCCTTCCATTGGTTCCTCTTCATTGCCCACTACCATCAGGGGAGAAGGTGACCTCGGCCCCTCAGGGATCACAGTGAAGGTAGGAACACTGCAGAGAGAGAACACTACTCCAAAGTGAACAAGTGACTCCACCCTGCTCTGGTGTCACGTCCAGCTTTCCCAAGCTGCTGGGATTCTTGCTGCCTTAACCTGGACCCTAAATGTTCATTCTCTACTTTCCAGATAGCTCAGCCCACCTGCTGCTGAATTTTCCCCGAGTTAAATATTTGACCTTACCTCTTGGTGCCCAGGACCTGTCCACCCAGCTTGATTTTAAGTTTAAGTTGGGGTTTGGCAGGGGCCTGTGTCTGTCCGGCCTCCTCTTCCTGATGATGCTTCTTCTTGTGTTTCTTTTTGTGCTTCTTGTGTTTTTTCTTGTGAACTCCGTGGCTGTGAGCCCCTGTCAGGCTCAACTCCAGCGCTTCCCCTGAAGAAGGAGAGCCTGTCACAGGTGTTCCATCAAACAGTGGCAGGGGAAGATCTGAATATCCCAGCAACTTCCCACTCTTCCCACGTTATTAGCCGTTATCATAACAGCACCGCCTCGTTCCTTCCCACCTGTGGCGAGCTGACCTGGCTCCGCGGAGTGAGAGGACTCCTTTTCAAAGAGCATCTAAGTTTGAGCCACCCGCGCTTACCTGGCTCGGGGGCTTCCATAGCCCCAGAGGTGCTCCCGCGCCGCCACAGCTTGCTCATGGGGTCCTGCAAAGGAAGAGGACTGGAGACGGTCGGGACACAAGCCGACATGCCTTTTCCGCCCCGCGGAAGAACGGAATCCAGCAAAATAACCGGCTACTTCCGGTGCCTGGCAACCATGTTTATGCGTGGCACTGTTTACCGTCAAAAATACTCCGGTAAGAAACAAAGCCCATTCCGAATAAAAGTTCCGGCATTGCTAGGTACCGTCCTGTCATACCGGCCTTAAGAAGAGGATCACGAATTCGAGGCCAGCCTTAACACCACACTGTTCAAAACAAAAGGTCTAAGCCTCTGTGAGGCTGGAAACGCCACAAAGAAGACGTTCCCCTAACTTGGGCTGCCCATTATTAGGTTCCAGAGCTGTTCTTTGTCTGTCTGTCCCCCCGCCGCCCCCCATTCTCATTGGTAGACAATGGGGCAAGACAATTACAGTGCATCTATACGGTCGGAAGGACTAAGTTTCTCGACTAAGAAAATTGTGAAGTAGTAAGACAGACACATAATTTAGATTCCAGACAAAGTTACATAGTAAAGAACTCATCCCTCTAATGAAACATCTAAACAAATTTGTTACATCCCTCGGAGAATCTGATACCTCTTGTCTGTGCAGACACCTGTATAGGCAGACACAGACATGCACTTGCATATGATTTCAAAGAATGATGTGGGTGGGGCTGGAGAGATGGTTCATTAGCTAAGAGCATTTGCTGCTCTTCCAGAGGACCCTGGTTTGGTTTCTAGTACTTACATAGCTACTCACAATCATCAGTAACTCCACTTTCAGATCTGTCTGCCTCTTCTGGCCTCCTCAGTTCCTCTGCAAGAGTAGCAAATCTTGCTAACAGTTGAGCCATATGTTCATCCTTTTGATTCTTTTTTTTTTTTTTTTTTTGCTTACTTACTATTTTTTTTGTGTGTGTGGTTTGTTTTTGAGACAGTGTTTCTCTGTATAGTCCTGACTGTCTTGCACAGACCATTCTGGCCTCAAACTTAGAGATTCTCCTGCCTCTGCCTCCAGAGTACTTGGATTGAATGTGTGCCGCAAAACCCAGATTCTTTGATTTTATTTTTTAAAGTATGGTGTGCGAGTGTCTACTTAGAAAAAAATTGAGGAATATACAATGTGTCATTAATGTTGATTGTCTCTAAAGGCTATAGTTAAGGATCTTTTTATCTTTATTTTATATGCATTGGTATTTTTCTTGCATGTACATCTGTGAGGATGTCAGATCTTGGAGTTAAACAGTTGTGATCTGCCTTGTGGGTGCGGGGGATTGAACCTGGGTCCTTTGGAAGGGCAGTCCGTGGTTTTAACCACTGAACCATTTCTCCAACCCCCACAGCTAAGGATCATTTACTGTCTGAATTTGAACTCACTCTGTAGACTAGGCTGGCCTCCAGCTCAGAGATCTACCTGTCTCTTCCTCGGTCTCCTGAGTACTGAGATTAAAGGAGTGAACCACCACTGCCTGACATTGCAATGAGTT